TTTACTGTCAACTTTAGCGTCAAATTGAGAAATGGCAACGCCTATGAAATGTACAGGGGTGGGATGGCGTCATTTCTTCAGCGATAAACATAGTTAGGATCAAAAAATAGGAGGGATAAATTGCTCATAGATTATTGAAGGGTTACGGAAACACCTTAGTCCTCGAAGGGAAGAGGAAGTAAGCAAAAGAGTACTCGCAGACCCAAGAGCACTCTCGAAAGTATCTCCTTCGTGCAGTCAACCAGAGCTACAGGCGGGGCAGGAAACTCGGGTTGGAGGGTGAAATAGGGAATGATGAACAAGGCGGACGGGAATGGTGAATGGCGAACAATGTCCCAAGGAGTACGACAGCTGTCGAATAGGCAGAGAACTCGCTCCAGCCCCTTCAAAATTTCAAGGGTGTCGCACTGGCAGGTGAGAAGAAACAACTCAAAAGATGAGTCGAGCATTTTTTAACTGCTACTCAGCAGCCGTCCTCCAGATCTTTCTTGTCCTATTGTCGTTCTACAGATTAGCTTAAAACCCCTACAAAACTATAAACCTGAAAGACCTTAAAGCATCTCGAGGTGAAGAAGGCTTATGGTGTCGATAAAATTTCCCCTGAGTTAATCAACTATGGCTGAAAGGGAGTTGCAGTGCAGCTTCATAGCTTATTTCATAAAAGATAAATCTCAAATATCGTCCCCATATTTAAAGCGGAACGGGCAACCGAGTGCTCTAGCTCTCTTGGATTACCGTATTATTTACTCCTGGGAAGCTGCTCCCTTGGGTTATTCTGACAAAGTTGAGACAAGCAGTTAACGAAAGAATCTGTCGACATCAAGCAGACTTCCGAACGGGGCATGCCCTGACCAAATTTTCGCTCATTCGAACGATTATCGAGCAATTCCAACGAATCCAGTTGCCTCATGTTTGCGAATTTCCTCGAGTTTAAGGTTTCAGTTGATTCAGAACACCGTTTGACGAGGTGAAAAATCTGGAAATGATATGGGATACCAGAATACACAGTTTCTATTTCGGTAGAGATGTATTCAGGAAATATGTCTGATGTGAAAGTTGAATGATATCAATCTGAGGGTTCTCTTTTACCCCACTGAGTTCGCCAGGAGATATGTTTGTGTCTATGCTATTCAAAATTGTTCTCGATTGACTTCTTTGAAACTGCACTGACTCTGGCAAAAGCGAAGGCTTCATTCTAAAGGGAAGGCGGAGTTCCAGATATAGGGCGAGATATCGTACTGACTGGACTGCGCAGATGTTATTGTCCTGGTGAGTAGTACGAGTAGCTGGCCCTATTATCTGACAACTGCCATTTGCAGCACAGCTGCGAAAACCGGCCTCTACCTTAACGCCGAGAAGTCCAAAATTTTGAAAAACCTATCAGACATAGCTGATCTGCTAATGAAACAGATAGGGAAGGCCATAACGGAACTCGATCTGGTTATATATCTCAGTTGAATCATCTCCAAATCAGAATTACGTAGGAGGATCTTTCATGTATCCAAAGTTCCTTTAACTTGTCTTATATTTTGGCTGAAAAATTTTATGTTATAATCATCATAATCATCTTTAATGACCGCTTCTCCTTTCGGGTCGCGGAGGCAGGCGTGTCAGACAGAGCTTCCAACGTTCCCGAACCTGCGTCTGAGTCTCAGCTTCAGCAGAAGACAGCTAGAATCTAGAACAGTCTTCCATGTATTTGCACCAGGTTAATCTTGGTCGTCTCCTGGACCTCTGCTGGTCGGTTGGGCAGGAAACAGTTGCCTAACCTTTCTTTCTGTAGGCATTCGCAACACGTGTCCAAACCATCGCAGCTGTGACTTAATTTATCTCATATATAAGATATATGTAATTGATGCTTTGATGAGTCACAAACTGGAAGACAACACTTGAAATATTCTTTATTTACTCTGAAGACGGACCGAGGTTTGTGCGAAACGTCAGACGGCCCTAATTAACAACTATTTAATGCGTTGTACTCCCGTTAGTGATTTACCAAAGCATCATATCATTTTCCGCATACAGAAATCATGTACCTTATTTGATATATGCATTTATATTACTGTTTATATTATATTTCGGATAGACCCTTCCATAAAAGTCCGCCTGTACCTTACCTGTGTCACGTCAGTATTGTTTTACGGCATAAGCACAATTGTCCAAACGAAGGAACGAGTACGACGGTTGAAAGAAATGCAGATCGTTGGTCTGGACACATAACGTTAGTTAAATGACAGAACTCACGAGGAATGACTCTATTTTTCACGGACAGATGTAGCCTCGGTAGATCTGAAGATCAAGAACAGAGGTTAGCCCTGTTCAGACATATACAAAATGGTTTGATATACGTCATTTACTTCAGCTCAAGAACTTCTCGTGCTGGAGCTGAAACACTTCAGACGTCGGACAGGAGGCTAGCATGCAATAATGTAAAAGCAAGGCAGATCTGCTTTCGGAGATGAATATTTTGTTCTGCGATGCAGTAACCGATGCTTTATAGCAAAAGTGCTGTAGAGCTTGAAATGCAGCAGATTTCACAAATCATAAACGCTCTTCTCATGCAAACGACTCGAGGTGATGATCGCAAATGCAGACACCATCGTTGAACCTTCGGTCACCCCTTCGCCTTTACATATTCTGACAATTAGTTAAGGTTTCCACCTTTCGAGGAAAACTTTTAAAGTTCACATAAGATGAAATAGTGCGCGAAGCTCTTCGACCAATCCCCTAAACCTTATTTAATTTGATCCGCACTAAAAGCGGATCCTTACAGATCTTTTCGTTTGCAAAGATGGTAGGGCTCTTGAACTCTACTTTTATAGAGGAGTTTAAACAAGCCTGCACCTTTGGTAGAAATTTCCTGGAAGGGAGAATCTGGAGGGTAGCTGCTTGAAATGATCAGCCCATCCTTTCAGGCATTACTGCTCAACAGCCAATAAGATACTACTGGCGCTCTGAAAAAGGACGGGTCAAGTTCCCTCGTAATAACTGTCGTGCTCATTTGGTCGCACGGTTTTTTAGTTACCCTTTCTGGTAGCCTTATTAATCTTTCTAATTGCACCGATTAGTGACAGTTTCAACAGTCCAACCTGTTGCTGTGGTTTACCGCAGGTCATTAAAGGGGACATTAACACAGCTCCCTGGTTTCTTTTCTGGCCGTCGGCGTTTGCGCCTGATGATGACACGATCCGATTGGTCTGCAGGCTTCCTCCGTGGGCCGTCCACGCTACTTGGTACATTCGCTTATGAGTGAATATAGCCGTGAGACGATTAGATTATTCGTGGCGCAAAAACTTAACAGACGCCTGCCGTTGTCACTTGCAGTATCAACTCTGTCATTGCAACAAGTCATTTGGTCAGTTTCCACGTGACCGTAAACAGTCAGAGAAAACCTTTTTGTCGTCGCCACCAGGCATCATTGTCGATGCGTAGGAAACAAGGACATTGAACTTAGACTATATGACATTTTCGGGACAAACCAAAATCTTCTTTGACATATGCACATTCTAATTGGCGCCGGTGAAATTGAGTATTACAGTTTAGTATTATCAAGATTTACCGAATCCAATACATAACCGGTTCCTGTCTGCATAGGCATTTCCCCTGGCAAGACTTACTTTGACTGTAGAATGCTCTAGATAGCGTATGTTATTTCTTTTATGTTAAATCGGTGTACCGTCAGCAGAAAATGGCTTCTGATTTTATGCACTAAATGCAAAATGAACACTTTTAAGTTATCTACTGGTTTCAGTATATCAGGATCTTTAAAATTAAAATGCCTTTCTCAGCTAAATTATTTAAACTTATGTTTGCTTCTAGTTTTCTTTGCACATTTTAAGTGTGATTTATTTCCACCTCTACATTGGATCCTCTACCAAAGATTGCAGGACATTATTTCCTTGAACAGTCCACATTGTATTTAACAGAGGTTTCTTCAGCATTTCACTGATCTTTGTCGCATCACTAGCTGATTTAGAACTTGATGAAGGTCGACTATCACCGCTCTGATAACAACTGCGATCAAAATTGGATTAAATCCGCTCCTTCTTTCTAGATCTGTGCACCTTCCATCGTCAGATGTAGATATTTCAATGCATTTTCTCCCAATCGCCGACCGAATTCAATTGCTCACTAAACACAGCACATTGATGATCTGTAGCCGCCTTCTCACCTTTTCTGGCAATAAGATGTTTTGTCATTATTTTCTCAATATATATTGAGATATCGAACGTTTCCTCATTTCGTATGTTTTTTTTTCCATTTTCATCGGCCGATGTTTTCAGCACTGTCTTGTTACAGGCAAGTCGGCTTGTTTGTATAAATACCAGCGGTCTACTTTCGCAATGTTACTTTGTTTTATATAGGCACAAAAATATGTTCATACGCCAGAGTATGCCAAATAAAGCAGAACACTTTCAAGACCAGATTTCATGGCATGTTGCACCCCCCTTTTGCTACTAGATGCCTAGAGGGTAATGTAAGCAGGCCACGGTTCCATGACATTTCAGTACCTGCAGTGTCAGATGCAACTCGCATCATTCCATTCTGAGAATTCTTCGCTGAGCCGCCTCGTGCTCTTAAAGAACGATATTTCAAGAGCAGGTACTCCCTATTTGCAACCGAATAAAAATGTAACTTGTTCGTACAACATAGTATTGCTAACCAAACCTTGACGTACAATGGTGGCAACAGTTGCCAACCCGTGGCGAACTGCTGTTTGTTGGTTGCCTCCGCGAGGAGACTTGCATACAGAATCTCAGACTGAAAGGGCGAATACTGATTTATGTGCATGCTGTACGCCCAGTCAAGAATTTGATTATGTGTCTTCCTGTGCGAAGAGGATAAAGCCAGAAAAAGATAGTTGATCTGAAATTCATTCATATGATCGGGGACTTCAACACCCATGTCAGAACCGATGAGTAAATATGGAAATGTAAATCGAAAAGAACGGCTGCATCTACAGTTAATCACTGAGTGGTACTTCACTGCGTGAATGGGATCAGAAAAGAAGTCCAGTTTTCAGCAAAAGTTTTGGTTCTAAAACAATGAATATTAAGGCGGTCTCTGGAATAAATGAACTTTTCAGTCGAAAGAGGAGCATCCTGTTGTACCATAGGTAGCATTTCATAAACGAAAGCGAAAGTTAACGAACGAGTAAAGTTAAATAAACTGGGACAAAAGAACTTTGCATACGAAGACAACACAACCAATACGTGGAAGCAGAACTACCTGAGTAAAACGTCGAAAGTCAAAAGTGCACAGCAGGATTATCGTTAGGGCGACAGAGCGAAGAATGAATCGACTACTTGTTAACAACGAAAATTTCTTCTACTATCCCGAATTGCTTCAAATTACTGGACTTCTACTGCACAGACGGTCTTTCTGTGATGGCACTTTTGTTTGGCACTGCGATGTTTATATAAGTGTTATTATAGCAGTTTAGGCAAAG